ATAACAAGTATCCTGCCAGCAATTTGTGTCTGAGATACCATAGGTTTCAGTATCTTCTGTGCACATAAACTGGTGCCAAAACTATTACATTAAGTATAAAGAACAATTGACTTAGAATATAAACAAAACATCAAAGAAATAGCTACAATTTTAATTGGAGGCCAGAAATTTTTGAGCAAGTATGCAAGTCGTTTTCTCATCATCTTATATTAATTTCAATATCCTCCATGTTTAAAACCTTGCTATCATTTGTAATTATTTATTAAGAATTCATTTGAACAATATTAACCATCTCTTTTGACCTTAGCATTAGACCCAATTTATGAATGCATGTCTCTAGATTATGATCTGTAAATGTCAAGTGTATGTGTGAATCAGCATTAGATTGCTTATAGCAGAGATAATTTCCATGTCTGTGATGTTGACTTAACAATTAATTTTATTGATTGTTCAAATATTTGGTACAGAGTTAACAAATAACATGTCATGATAAACTGAATCATAATTTTTAGATATAAGTGATGATCAAATTATACTGAATTTTCAGTACATTTCCACTGTAAAATATTGTAATTAATCATTACAGTTTAACTGTAAATTTATATATTTAGCTGATATTCAATATTTCAATAACTTATCTTTGGGTTAATAATATATGATGAATACTCAGCTTAAAAAAGCTGATCTCTCTAAATCAGGGGTGTCAAACTGGAGGCTGGCAGGCCAAATGTGTCCAACTCCGCAAAAGGAAGAAACATCATGTGATGGCAACATGATGCCGTGAATTAGACACACATGGTCTAAATGATATATTTCTTTCTCTTCCTCCCTCCTTCTCCCCTCCACCCCTCCCCTCTTTCTCTCTTCCATGTTTATAAGTATGTGGTGAATGGGTGAAGCAAATGCATATCATTATGTAGTCTTCAGAGGCTAGAGGGCCAAAAACATCATAATATCACTGAAATATATAGATCCATTTTGTGGGAATTTGGTACTACTTAGAAAGAATTAATGTCTGAAATGGACATCATTAGCCTTTTCGGGACAACCTGTAAACACTTCCTCCAAACCGGCTAATAACAAAAAGCTGTAAAGTGTATTTGTACCCATTCTAGGAGTTTTAAAACAGGTAGCATTCTTTCATCTCCTCACAACCATTATTTATATTTTATAATTTGCAATAATGGGCAAAAAAATCAGACCTAATTGTTTTCCATCCATATTTTATAAGGTGTATTTTTCCTCATGTTTACTACTTGTGCTATATTGCTTATACTTAGTTCTGTATATAATTAAATATAAGTAATGAAATTCCAGTGATAGTCAGGATAAAATCTTATGCCAAAATACCTTTGAACAATCCTCATCAGACTATTCTTGAATTTCATTTTGTATTTGACAGATCCACATTAGATTTTTTCTTTAGAACAATAAAGCCTATAAAACACCAAACCATCTATAAAGCTATTTCTCTAGAGGCAAAGGTCCAAGCCATCCAGGAAGCTCCCGCACCCAAGAACAAGACCGAACTTCGGGTGTTCTTGGGACTCCTAAATTTCTACAGTATCTTCTTGCCGCATAAAGCTTGTGTAGCTGAGCCTCTCCATTGCTTGCTCGACAAGAAGATATCTTGGTCTAGGGACCAAAAAGAAGTTGCTGCTTTCTCCGCTGTCAAGGAGCTTCAAACAGCATTCTGGTGCAGTACAACGAGATTCTTCCCTTGGTTCTCACCTGCGACACCTCTCCATTCAGCGCCATTTTAAGCCACCGATTCCCGAATGTAAGAGTGGCCCCGATCGCTTTCTTCTCACCGACCTTGTCATTGGCTGAACGAAACTACAGCCAGCTGGACAAGGAAGCTTTGGCTGCAGTTGCAGGAGTCAAACGCTTCCATGAATACCTCTACGGCAAACCATTTGACCTTGCGACAGATCACAAGCCACTACTGGGCCTGCTCGCCGGGGACCGCCAAACACCACAAGTTTTGTCCCCTCGCATGCTGCACTGGACTGTGTTCCTAGCTGCATACAGTTACCGCCTCCTGCATCAGCCGGGTAAGACACTTAGCCACGGCAACACCATCAGCCGATGCCCGCTCCCAACTGTTGTGGAGGATCCAGTCCCAGCATCATCTATTTTATTAATTAAAGACCTGCTGTCCCGCCCCATTACAACGTCGGAGATCGCTGCACACTTCATCAAGGACCATGTCATCACCCAAGTCCTCAACTGGATGTGGACGGGGTGGCTGAAGGGGCCAGTCAGTACAGAGTCCCTTTCCTTCCACACCCAGCAACGTGAGCTGTCCACTCAACAAGGATGCCTACTCTGGGGGAGTCGTGTGGGGGTACCCCAGAGGCTGTGACGGCCAGTTTTGGAAACTCTTCATGTAGGCCCTCCAGGCATCGTGCGGATGAAGGCGTTCGCCCGCAGTTATGTCTGGTAGCCCAACTTAGACAAGGCAATCATTGATTGGGTCAAATCTTGTCAGCCTTGCCAAGAGTCAAGGCCAGTCCCCCCATCCACTCCAGTATGTGAGTGGTAAGCACCCAAGACACCTTGGTCAAGGGTGCATATTGATTTTGCGGGGCCTTTCCATGGACAAGCCTTTATGGTGGTTGTGGGTGCCTATTCAAAGTGGCTTGAGATGGTACTCATAACATTGACCACCTCAGACGCTGCGATCAAGGCCCTTAGAAGGCTGTTTGCGACCCACAGACATCCTCGTTTTGGACAACAGGCCACAGCTCACATCAAGCCAGTTCGAGCTGTTCCTGGTGGGCCATTTGTCATGCCCTGATTGCACCATTCCATCCTGCTAGCAACGGGCAGGCTGAGTGGATGGTCCGATCAACAAAGGAAACACTGGAAAGGATGCGCCCGGGGGACTGGCAAACACGGATAACCAAGTATCTCCTGGTCCAGCACGTCACACTAAACTCCACCACCAACAGGAGTCTGGACAAACTCCTAATTGGTAACCGCCTGCGGACCGACTTCGACCGGCTGCACCCGGACTACTCCTCGGAGGTCCCTGCAGACTCAACCAGCCAGCTTGGTCATCCTCACTGGGTGACTTTGTCTACACCCACAACTACAGCGGAGGCCCTTTCTGGATTCCTGCCTGGGTAGTGGACGTTACTTGGCCATGTTCCTATAGAATGGCGCTCGAAGATGGCAGGTTGTGGCACTGCCACATCAACCAACTGTTCTGCCAGCCAGAATGAACTCCACCAGAGACAACCCCGGCTAAGGACACACCAACTCAGACACCAACAACAACAGTACCAACAAGGGACTGTGTTGAGGCACAGATGCCGCGGACCCAGTTCCCTTTGTGGTAGAAGCACCAGTGATCGAGCCCTTGCTGCTGCTACAAGGTACAGCTACATCTGAAGTAGCGTCAGCCACTTTGCCTAGTCAAAGCTCCAGAGCTACTGGTCTTGAGACGGAACCTCGTAGATCAAGACAGACACATTGCCACCTGCCTACCTAAAAGACTACATATATTAGATTGTTATTTGATTACCATAATGCTCTGTCTTGGTGGGAAGGGGTGTTACGTATTGTATATAGTGTATGGTTGTCAGTTGAAGTTCTCATTCTGGTCCTCTGTTGGAGCGGGAAAATACTCTCTCCTAATTGGTTATTTGGCTGATCAGTTTCATATAAAAGGAGCTGTGTCAGCCAAGGAGTGTATTTGCCTCACAGGCAGTATTGAATAAAGAACTGTTAGAAATCACTCCGGCCTCGCCTCCATTCTTCCTCCAGAATATAACAAAAACCATGAATAACAATGAGCTAGTTTTCAATAATAAGTGGCTTCAGATAAGCTTCTTGTTTGAAAATCTGTAGAAGTTCTGTGAGTGCTTTTTTTCTTTCTCTTCATATAAAGTATTCCACATATTTTTTACTGTCATTTACCAAGCTCTTTCATTATTGTTTTTAATTGACTGTTTACTGAAGCATTTTGAACAAAATAATCCAGTACTTCATTCTTAAAGGAAATGTATTTGTGTGTCTGTGATAGGGAAAGGAAATCATAAGTAGTGTGGTGAAGTTTGCTTGAAGTGCAGCCTTTGAGATCTCTTTAAATGGAAAAAGAGCTAATACTTTAAAAGAAAGTGGTCATTTAATCTGTACTCATAACTAAAGCATTTTTCTGCAAGAGACAACAGTTCAAGAAGTAGGAAAGCTGTTTTTTTATGAGGAGGGGGTTACTTTTATAGAATGAAAAACCTTTTCTTAAATCAAAATCTTTAAAACTCTGATGGAAGTATAATAGAAATGAGTGCAGAAAAATCTAATGGGAGCCAAAATAATTATAAAGTATAACTTTATAATTACAAAACCATTTGTTTAGAAAATTTATTTCTATTAAACAAACAAATATATGAAATTCAAAAGAGGAAATGTTGAAAAAAAGATTACATTTTCATTTAATTACCATGTGACAAACAAGATGATTCTCACTAATAAATAAAGCATCTTATTACAAAGAGAGAGAAAGGAAGAAAAAAGAGAAAGTGAAAGATTTTCAATTGTTGAAGCAAATTAAATTTACATACTGCAATGCAAAGCAACAAAATTGGCAAATAATTTTCCATTGGAATCTAACTTAGTTTATTTTCTAATTATCTGGTATTTTGGGAGGGGGACCTTTAAGTAGTCAATATACATAGTAGTTTTTTCTTTCAGGATCTCTGAGATTATTCCTGCTTTGAAAAACTTTGTGATGTTTTCCCCAAAATTCATGGCTTTCTAGGGTAAATATTTATGGTTCAGACCTTTCTGAAATATAATCTCTATTTATTTTAGAAGTCAATATTGGGGTACAATAGTTTTATAATTTCAGTTTGGTTATTTCTCTATTCATAAAATTTCCTAAAATATTTATTCTTTAAATTCTTGCTAATTTATGTCCTTTTTAAACTTGGGCATTGATTGATTGATTTTCTGCATTTTTTTTTCTTTTTTTTTTTTAAACTATATATCTGCAGCGGAAAGTTGCAAGGAATCCAAGACAATAAAGATTAAAGAAGAGCCAATGGAAGTTGAAATTCATGACTCCCATGCCTCTGTTTCACCTAGCCAAAATGTCAGCTACAGCACTTTACTTAGGCAAGAGATAACTGAACAGGTACAAAAGATCCCCGAAAGCCGTGTGGTTCCAGAGAGAAACCTCTTTAGTCAAGATATATCTGTGAAAATGGCTTCAGAATTACTTTTTCAATTGTCAGGTAAGTATTATATCTAGAGATTTACAATATATTTTTCCAAATTTGTCTTGTCTGAATTTGCTGTGTGTTGATTTTTTAAGTATCTACCGGTATACCACGACCTGCAGTTTTATAGGTATTTAAAAATAGTCACAATGTGTCTTATTTTGGGGGAAGCATGGTATGTATATAATAGCACTTGAAGTCCTATTAAAGACCATAATAAATAAACATGGTTATTATTATGGTTACAATTCAATTAGAAAAATAGCCTTGTTTCACTATTGATTCCTATTTAAAAAATCAGCCAAGACTAGCCAGGTGTTGCCACCTGACTGGTCAACTTTGTTAGCAGTATAGCAGAAGCTACTGTTGTATATTCTATATTTTTCCAATATTTTAGTAAAAGAAAATATATGAGACAACTTACCCCAAACAATTTCCTAAGCAAGTGATCTAGAAATAGAAAAAAGTATCCATATCATCTGCTTCCTTTTCTACTTTTTCTGCATTGCGTGAATGGCAATTTAGAAGGTTTATCTAAACTTTAGATTACCTCTAGAGTTCATTGTTTCCATAGCGCTATTCAATATATGTCTACATTCTCAGCATTTCTTTTTCCTATTTGTTTGCTTTACCTTATTCTTCTTGCATACAAAAGAGAGCACACAGAAACTGTCATTTAGGCCCCAATTACTCTAAAAAAAGAAATGTGGAATTCCTCAGTATGACTCACGGTAAATAGAGTTATCATTTCAATGAGAAGCTAGAGAAAATATTTGGATAAGTTATAAATCTATATAAATATTATTTTTTCTTATTATTAAAAAAGTAATACTTTCATGAGTATTTTATTTTGCTTAAAATAATAATTTATTTTTCCACAGAAAAAGTGAGCAAAGAGCACAATCACTCTAAAGATAATACCATCACTATTACAACTAGGTAAGTACTACCCATGGTAGAGAAAGGTAGTCCTGATAAAGTTCAGTGTAACATCAGTTTTATAGATATTTGGCCGAGGTATCCAGCAATATATTTTATAGGCATAAAATAAAGGGTTTTTAAAATAAATTTTCATATATATCAAATTAGATAGATAAATTTGATTTCCTTATAAAAATATACATAATGAATAAAAAATGAAAATATAACTTTTCCAGATATAATTACAAATGTATTGATTTGACCTATTTTTATATATTTTTATTTAATACAAATAATAGTATAAACCTTAAGGAAAGTAATGTCTCTTCATTTTTGCCAATTTAGTAGAAACAATTACACAAAAAATAATATGAAAAAGAAGAAATTGTCAACAACAAAATACATCAAAGAAAAATAGGCAATGTGTCGTGCTTTTTTTCAAAAAATACTATTAATGGGAAATCGGGAGGGAGGATCAAAACTGTTAATTAATGTTTAACTAAACTCATTTTCTGAATTTGAGGTAATCTCATTAACTCTGATACTTTATATCATTTTATTTTTTTATGTGCATTTTTAAATGTTATCTGTTTTGTTAATATTTCAATAAAAATATTATTATTTATATTTTTTCTTTTCTTTTTTTAACTAAAAAAACAAAACAAAATGCCTTAGGTTTTCTAAAATTTCCTCCTTTTTTAACCAAGCCTTCACATCTCTATGCATGGTCCACAATCTAGCAAGAATTGAGTACAGTTAAATCCCTTTGATTTCCTACTGAAACTATGTAAATTAATTATAGCTGAATTATAGAATGTCCTGTTTGTATTAATGTTATTGACTAATACTGTGTAACTCTGTTTGAGATGTAATTAAAAATGTAAGTCAATCATGAAGCCAGCTAATGAAATAAATTCTTGATGTGCATATAAATTATAAGATTTTATTTATACCATGCACCCAAAGGATTATTTTCTATGCTCACTGTTGTCAGTCACCATGGATGTGAAACCTCATCATCTTAAGGCAAACTGCTGACCAACACATTGCTTTACTTATGGATTATTCTCAGAAATGCTTATGACTGTGTGAGTGTAAGAAGGCCAGTTTAATACCTGTCTTCTCCAGTTTGGATCTGAAAGAAAATAAAACACCCTGCCCCACCCTAGTAGTCTTTGAAAAGTTTTTATTTGTATCAGTGGGAACTTTTTTTTATAAGCCTCCTATTGGTACCGGGTTGCGAAGGCAGGAAAACTCTCTTTTTAGATTACTATTGGAGAGAAAATAAAAATAGTTTCTCTCATGCTTGCAATTAATTAAGGAAAAATAGATATGTGACTGTTGGGGATTTTTGTTTTAACCTGGCATGATTTCTCAGATTTCTTCCTAAAATCTCACTTGTTCAGTTTGGCAAAAAAAAAAAACCCTGAGTATGATATCAAATTTCTTATCTTGTTTAATCCAACAAGTTAAGAAGTTACTCTCAGGTGACCCTGAAAAGACTCCTAATGAAATTAGTCATTATAGTCTAAAAGTAAGCAACTTCAACCTCTGTACAGAGGGACAGTAATGATGGTGCAGCCAAGAAGAATTTTTGGAAGGCAGAAAAAAAACAGGCCCAAGTTGTCTTTCAGCTGCTAAATAAATGATGCTGCAAGATTATTTTTCTGGACTGGCCTATTAACTTAGTTAAGATCCCATTTCAAAAAATTACAGTGTTTGCCATTCGTAAAATTACAGTCAGGTCTCTTGGATCTTCAAAAAAAGCATTTAGATGGATTGCAATTATAAGAAAAAAAGATATTGAAAATCATGTGCAGTCTATTTGAGATCATGCTCAACTATTCCTAAGCTATTTACATTCAAATGTCATTGTAATCTTTTTCCAAATTGTATTCCTTCCTTTGAATTTATCATCCAATAATCGGGCAAGAGCTCAATTTGACTTCTTGGATTGGCCTTAAACAATTGCTTTTATTGTATATATGGAAATTAGCTAGTAAATAAGACAGGTGCTTATTATTTAAACAAGCCATTCAGGTAGTACTAGGGAGCAAGAAGGAATAGCATTATTGTACATTATAAAATTCAAACAAGCTATAAGAAACTGGGAGTGCTAATAGTACTATCACTACCTAAGCAGCTTCCTTAAACAGCAGACAGAATGTGTTGGCTCAGCCAAAGAGGAAGGAAATAACTGTGACATAAAAACTTAGCTTCAGAGGATTCCTTAATTACAAATACATTTTTCCAAAAAAATTAGTTGCTTATTAAACATTATATTAGAAATAAATGTGCTTCATATAAAAATATATTAAGACAGTAAGTGTCAATTTTCATACTAACTTTTACTTTATCCAGACCAACTGAATTAACTTGGCTGGAACCTGCTTCTGCTATATATAGTATGTCTTTGCAGTGTAGTACTTTATAAAACCTCATATAAGCTGTCATATGTCCTGAAATTCCTCTACTACAGAAACATAACTGAGGCTCACAAGTGTGCAGCCCACTAATATTGCTTTTCTGAACATCTGCGTTGAAAACAATACTCCAGAGTTATATTGAAACTATAACTCTGCCCAAATTTTGAGAATCTTGAGAAAACTACATTCTTTTAACAGTGAGTTGGCTTGTTTTGAATCATTTTCAAAATATTTTTAGACAGCTTTTAGGATTGGGACATAGTTTGATAATATGAATTCCATAATATTGATTTTACAATAATTGTTGCAAAAATTTATCCAAAACATGTTTTCAATTTTGGGTACCTCTAAACCATAAAATTCTAATCAGATGCACCATTTGATTCAATTGTGCATTAATAGGATTTATTTAGTAATTAACATATATTTCTGCTTTAAAAATCATTTTTCCTCAGCCCATTTTTTTCTGAAGATACTTTTAGACAATCACCATTCACTTCGAACTCAAAAGATCTGTCTAATGAGAGTGCTGTTCAGGGAAGGACATCAGTTCTAGGTATGGAACATTAATGACACTATAGTAACACCATGTTTCATATATTATGGTAAAAAGTGCTAAACATAATGTAATATGTCAAGTAAAAATAGTGTGTTGGTTTTTACTTGGTTTAGCAAGAATTGTTACCCTGTTTCCCTGAAAATAAGACATCCCCTGATAATAAGCCCAATCGGGCTTTTGAGCACATGCACTAAAATAAGCCTCCCCCCCAAAAAAATAAGTCCTCCCCGAAAATATTTCAACGCAGAGCTGGAAATCAGGTAAGATGGCAAGAGGAGCCCTATCTTGCTCCATGTCCCCCAAAATAAGACCTCCCCAAAAATAAGGCCAAGTGCTTATTTGGGGTTCAAAAAATATAAGACAGGGTCTTATTTTTGGGAAAACACGGTATTAGTTAAAATGTGTTGGGGAGTTGGAAAAAAAGAATGATTAATTGCATGGAGAATGGCATTATCAGTAATATATCAATTCTAGGGTAAAATGTAAAAAAAAATGTTAATTAGAGATTTCCTAATTAGAATGCTGGGAAGAATGTTGATCTATAGCAATTATTTTATTTCTCTGGATTGCTTTTTCTGACATACATACATACATACATACATACATACATACATACATACACACACACACACACACATATATATATATATATATATATATATATATATATATATATATATTTCAGTTGCAATATTGTCATGACAGAATAGAAATTGTCTGGTTCAAGCATACATTGCATGAAGCCATAGTTGCCATTTGCAGTAGATTAGATTAGATTAGTTTAGATTAGATTAGATTAACGATTTCATAGAATATGTTTGTGTTAAAACTGGGCTTTGGTTGGGCATATTGGTCAGGATAATTTAATCCATAAATTATTTAGTCCTTCTGCTAGTGATTCCTGCATCCAATGTTAACCACACTAGCATGGATCTTTAGAATCTCTTGCAGCTCCTGAAAGATTTAGTTTATTCTTTTATTGTTGCAGTATGGAACAGTATGAGATCACCATTTGCAGAAATAAAGTATTATGGATGCTATGCTGTTTAAGATTCTATTAAGATTCAATATTCTTTGCAATTGTTATTAACTCCATTTTGAAGAATGGGTAAAACATAGTCTAGTCATAATCTGGTTTACCTTTCATATTTGTCCAAAAGGCATACATGATTGTGGGAAACAGTACACTCAAATACTGTAGCCATTGTTTTCTTGCTGTTTGGCCATAGCTAAGAGAAAAACCTCTCTAAAAAATTAAATACAGCTAGTCCTTGACTTACAACAGTTTATTTAGTGACTGTTCAAAGTTACGATGTCACTGAAAAAAGTGAGTTATGACCATTTTTCACACAACAGTTGCAGCATCCCCATGGTCACTTGATAAAATTCACACAGTAGGTAACTGTCCTATATTTATGCTGGTTGTAGTGTCATATGATCTCCTTTTGCAACCTTCTGACAAGCAAAGTCAATGGAGAAGCCAGAATCACTTAACAACCATGTTACTAACTTAACAAATGCAATGAATTTTGTTATTGTAAGTCAAGGGCTACCTGTATTATGTATTAGAAAATTAAGGGAAAACAGAGTCATATTAGTGAGCATAGTATTTCCTATCTTCACATTTTCCTTGTTTTGGCCCTGGCCCTTCTATGTCCAACAAGAAAATAAGCTAAAAAGTAGAAATTCTGTGAGGTAAGGGATGGAGACTAGAAAGCATTACTGTTCGTTCATGGTGCTTCTACTTTGAAATATTCTTCATCTAGAACTCAGATTGGTTCCGTCAAGCAATGTTTTTTGGAAGCCAGCAAATACTGAACTCTTCCAATGTAACCATCATCATTTTTCTTTATTTCACTTTTTATTCCTTTTATTCTTACTATTGGCTTTGCTTTGGAATTTTTAGATATTCTAGGCACTGATATTCTGAAGGTTTTAATTAAAATAATATATTTTTCTCCTTTTCTTGTCATAGAGTTTTTTATACTTATTTTTGTTTTTTCTTATACTAGGATGTTTTTATTATATTTTATTTTGTTTTAAGGGACCAGGAATAAGAATGATCCAGGGACATCAGGGGTGGGTTGCTACCGGTTTGTCCTGGTTCTTGCGAACCAGTAGTGGTGGCAGCGGGAGTCTCCGCCCACCCACCCAGAGATCATCAAAAACGCTCTGCACATGCGCAGAACCTTCTGCGCACGTCCAGAAGTGGCGTGCACTAGCAAAGTGAGCGCACACACCCTCACGCTCCCAATAGCAAACCGGTAGTGCTGGGATTTGAATCCCACTACTGAGGGGCATATAAATTTAATAAATAAACAAAACTAATAAATATGTAAATTGATTTAGATCTTTATCTATGAAATAAAGAATATAAATGACATATCCAAGGGCTTCAAGCTAGAGGAATGGAAAACATTTTGAATCTGAAAAGTGTCAAATTTGAAACAGTCATTTTATTTGGAACTGGTTGTCCTAGCCGTTCTGTGTTTTACGCCTTAAATAGAGCTCAGTCGCTCAGAGCAGTTTCTAACATAAAACAACTGTTTAAACTTGAAATGGCTGTTTTGAATTCAAAACAGAACATTATAAATTCAAAACATTTTGCACACTTCTGCTTCCAATTTTGTGTCAGAAATGAGAAATATCTCAGTAAGATGCAGCTAAAATCTGGCATTAGAAAAGTTCACATATGCACCTTCTGGAAGGGCAGAAATAGAAAAATGGTGAGCAGTGTAGTAGTTTTTGTGACACAATTTAAGATGCTCAGTGGCATCATGATATTAAGCAATATATGGAAATTTTCAGTAAAGAAAACAGCATCTAAAGTTCTGGCACAACTGCTGTTTGTACTGAGTTTGAGGGACCTAAAGCAAAGTATCTTTGAATAGTGATGCAGGAACTGCATTTTATGCAGTTTCTCAATCTTAGCAACTTTAAGATGTGTGGACTTCAATACCCAGAATTCCCCAGCAGCCATGGGAATTTCTGGGGATTGAAATCCATGTATCTTAAAGTTGCCAAGATTGGTCAAAGATTGGTCTAATTGCCATCACATTCAGCAATAGTTTCTGGACTGGGTGCCTCCAGATGAGGCTATTTTGAGAGACAGGGAAGGAAGGTGATCAGTTTGGAGCCATTTTACCCAATTTTTTAACTTTCTAGGTCAGGTCCTGATTTCATGCCAGTGAAATAAAGAAACATTGCATCAGCTGCAACATGGGCCTTGCATTTTCCAGACCTTTTTACCTGCTGATGCTAGGTGGGGCAAAGGTGTTGTCTTCATTTCCCCCCTTTAAATATTTATCTAGATAGTAGCAGTGCAATGCAGTGATTAATATTGATTTTAATTTATATTTCTTACAAACATGGAAGGTTAATATACCATAAGGTGAGCCTCTCAAATACACTAAGAAAGCATTATTATATTAGATCAATTTATAGTCATCGGATGAATATAGTCATAACAGAATTGCAAAGTTAAGGCTTTCTACCTGATTACTATGTTCAATGTTTATTTTGTTTTGGTTTATTCTTTTGTAATCCTGCAAACATGAAAATTTCAGAAAATGGGGGTGGTGGTGGTAAGTCAGCATTGGCTAAAACAACCCAGTTCACTCTCCTAATATTTTGCCAATAAGGAAAATTAGGATTCCTACAATATGCATTTTCTCTTATTTATAAAGATCATAGGATTAATGACCAAGAGAACCAGTTTAGTCTAATGATTAAGGCACCAGGCTAGAAATCAGGAGACTGTGGGTTCCAGGCCTGCTTTAGCCATGACTGGGTCATTTTGGGTCAGTGGCTCTCTCAGCTCATGACTCAGGCTTGGATGACAAGATGGTTGGTCAATTCCTGTCACAAGCAATGGATGAACACTCAGCTGATCTGAAAAAAAGTGGATCCTATACTTGTGGGGAAATGAAAAAAGAGGGTGAAAATAGGATTAGAAGACCAATCAAGAATTCCCATTCTCTCAGGAAAGACGAAAACAGGAAGGAAAACAGGATTTCTGTGGAGAAGAGTCCCAACTGAAGAAGATTCATACGATTCATTCTCATCAGAGGAAAGTGCCTATCTGATTATAAGCAAAACTTAGTAGTGACTATGTAATATTAATGTTTTTGCAGAAGCAAAGAAAATAGAAGAATCAACTGCTATAATATATCTCAGGGGGAACAGCCCAGATTGTTAATTATACAAAATAACCATAAGATGTATCAATTGGGAGAGGTGAGACATGATCTTTCATACATATTTAGGATATGCTTAGATGAACCTGACCCGTCTAACTGCTTTATAGTTTTAGATCAGTCTTGAATTTAAACATATTTTAGAGCATGTGTGGGCATACATGTAGCATCTTTTAACATCTTATTAAATTAAATACATATTACCACAGTTTGTTCCATATCTATGAATGGAGCTGTACAATTCCAGGAAAAGATACATTTGCTTTAAAGAGTTGTTAACAGGTGCTGCATGACCTGAACACGTATGTGTTTTCAGTCTAAACACAGCATAGCATAGCCATACTAGATATGGCTATCTAATAACTTTTATATTTATGTTCGGTTGATTTTAAAAAATGAAGATATTCACAAAAATCATATTTCAGATTGGTTTTCTAAGTGTAGACATTAATTAGTACAACAGGCTCCACAATTTTAGTTCTATATTTATTTGGCTCGTTTCTTGTTCTCCAGTACTGATCTCTAGTATGTCTAACATTTTGTTATAAAAATCATCCATTAATTTTTTTGCTCTTTAAAAGTTGTCACTGTTGATAACAGGATCAAACATCTTATTTCATAATTAAAGCAGAAAAAAGCCCAGATTTTTTTAGCAGTCCCTGCTATCCAGGAAAGTCAAGTGAGAGGACTCAGTGCTGTAGTTTATGGCAACATGCTGAGTTGACATTTTCACCAAGCAATTTAATAGAACTTGATTTTCATAAAATAAATTTACATTAGAACTGTGGCTAATATTAAAAG